CCAAGACATAACTATTTGTTCTTTTGGCAGTCCATGGGATATTCAGTACTCTAATACAACAATCGAAAGGCATCAATTTTTCTACCTTCATCATTACTCATTATCCACATCTCATATGTGCAGCAAGTGATTAAAAAAACCATGGCTTGTATCAGGTGCACTTGATTTATTTTTTTTTTTTTTTTTAGGGAATGGAGTTAGACGTCTATTTTTGTAGTTGTTTTTTAATTTACTGAAAAGTGGTTATTCAAATCTCCACTTGTTGTTGTTGATATGTGCCATCGAGTCACTTGCGACTCATAGCGACCCTATGTACAACAGCCCTAAACTCTGCTCTGTCCTGTGCCAATCACACTGTCTCTGACACTCCCATCCCGATTATCCCAGTCACTGAATCAATCCACCTCATAGAGGGCCTTCCTCTCCTGTGCTGTCCCTACACCCTCTCCAATTATCTTAATTTTTTTCCAGATATATAAGTTCTTGTAACTTCTTGTTACTTGAAGCTTCTTGTAACTTGAAGCTTTATTATTAGATACAGGCACATTTGTAAATGTTGGGCTTTTGTAATAGATTCTCTTATGTACTACCACTCTTATCTCTGATAAAGCTTGTTTTCTTGACATTTGTTTCATTTTCTATTACTTTAGCAACTCTTTTTTACATTTGCATTTTAGCTGGCATGTATTTCCTCCCCATTTCTCTATTCTTACCCCATTATTCCTACCCCCCCATTACCCCAGCTACTGTGTCAATCCATCTCATCATGCGTCTTCTTCTCCTGCACTGTCCTCCACCCTTCCAAGCATGATGTCACTCTCCTGACAACATGCTCAGAGAATGTCAGACAGAGCTTCAAAATCCTTCCCTCCAAGGAGCAACTTGGTTTCACTCTTTTCAGGACAGACCTGTTTGTTCTATTGGCAGTGCATGGTATGTTTAATACTCTCAGCACTCAGGTCAAAGCCATCTATTCTGTCATCCTTAGAAATGGACCAGCTGTCTGATCCATAGCAGGCAATTGAGGAGACCATGGCTTGGATCAGATGCACCTTAGTCTCTAGACTGACACTGTTTTCTTGCTCTTCAACACTCTGGAGAGGTCCTTGACAGCACACATTTTCAAAGCAATCTATCTTTTGATGTCCCGACTGGTTGTACCAAGAGTATTAATTGCAGAACCAAGCAAGCTGAAATTTTTAACACTCTCAGTCTCTTCTCCATCTGTCATGGTGCCACCAATTGGCACAGTGGTGAGAATCTTTGTTTTTTTTTGATGCTGAGCTTCAATCCATTTTGAAGACTGCAGTCCTTGACTTTCTGCAGCAAATTCCTCAGGTCCTCCTCAGTTTCAGCAAGCAGGGTTGTGTAGTTTGCATAATGCAGGTTATTGATGAGTCTTCCTCCAATCCTGATTTTTTGTTCTGCATACAGATTGAAAAAGTAGGGAGAAAGGACAACTCCTTGCTGTACTTCTTTCTCAAATTTTAACCATGCATTGTTTTTCTTGCTCTGTTTTGGCAACTGCTTCCTCGTCAAGTATTGGCTTTTCATAAGCACAACCATGTATTCTTGAGATTCCCATTCTTCTCAAGGTTAGCCACAGTTAGTTGTGATCTGCACAGTCAAATGCTTTTGCATAGTCAATGAAACATACATTGACATCCCTCTGGTACTCTGTGCTTTCAGCCAAAATTCATCTGACATTGGCTTTGATATTTCTAGTGCTGTGGCTTCTTCCAGACTCAGCTTGTATTTTTTTATATTTTGTAGTTCTCTGTCAATGTACTGTTCCAGTCATTTTTTTACAGCCTTGAACAGGATATTGCTAGTATGTGATAGTAGTGATGTTGTTTGATAATTCCTAGACTCTGTTGTATCACCCTTTTTGGAGTGGGAATAAATATGAATTTCTTCCAGTCTGTTGGCCAGGTAAGTTGTCCTCCAGATTTCTTGGCACACTCTAATGAGCACATCCAGAGTTGCATCTACTTGCGGAAATATGTCAATTGGTACTCCATCAATTTTTTGCCAGTTCCTTCAGAGCAGCTTGAACTTCCTCTGTCATCACCATTGCCTTTTATCATATATTGTTTCATTGAATTCTTCTGTGTTCGCCAGTTGTTTTTAATACAGTGACTCTGTGTACTCTCTCTGTCTTCTTCTCCCCAATGACTTCTTCTGGGTCATTCATTATTTTGCCCTTATTATCTTTAAGTATTAAGGATTCTGAGGCTCCATCTAACATACTTTGGACATGTTGTGAGGAGAGACCGGTCCTTGGAGAAGGACATCATGCTTGGGAGGGTGGAGGGACAGCGCAGGAGAGGAAGGCCCTCTATGAGGCGGATTGATTCAGTGACTGGGATAATTGGGATGGGAGTGTCAGAGACAGTGTGATTGGCACAGGACAGAGCGGAGTTTAGGGCTGTTGTACATAGGGTCGCTATGAGTCGCAAGCGACTCGACGGCACATAACAACAACAACATTGCAACTCAGGGTTTGAATTTGTTCTTCAGTTCCTTCAGCTTAAGAACTGCCAAGTGAGTTGATTCCTTTTGATTTTGTGACTCCAGCTCTTTGCGCATTTCATTATAATACTTTATTTTGTCTTCCTGAGCTGACCTTTGCCAATTCAGGAAAACAGGTATGTTGGAGACAAAAAGATTGGCTCATGGTAGGGCAGAGTTTAGAGCTATTGTATGGTAGGGGGTCACTGTGAGTCATGGTCCACTCAATGGCACGTAACAACAACCACGTATTTTTTTCCCCATAATCTTTTACTTTCCAACTGTCTTACATGTAAAGTACTCTTGTAGGTATCAATAACTGAAAGTTAATTTTTGTAAATTCATTCTGACAGTCGCCGTCTGTTAATGGGAATATTTAGTCCTCACCAGATGCTCCACTGGAGGAGGATAGCAGTTTCCTCCCATGCGATGAATTGGCTCTGAAATCCCAATGTAGAGTCAGCTGTGGGTTGGCTCCAACTCGATGGCACACAACAACAATGTAATAATGAGGGACTCTCAGAATAGTCCTTAGCAATTTGTACTGCCAAGGTGTTATGTACTGTCAAGTCTTCACCAGCCTGTGAAGGAAATTGCCCATCTTTCTCTTGAAAAGCAGCTGATGGATTCTTCCGTTTGTGATTTACAGCTTCAGAAACTTAATGGAGTGTCACTGTGTGTCAGAACTGAGTCCATACCAGCGATGACTGGTGATGAATGTAATAATAAACATGGTTGGATTTAGGTCTACCATTTTACTATTTTCACTTTTCATACATATCTTAAATCTTTTGTTCCTCTTTTTAGTTGACTTCTTTTCAGTTGGAAAAATATATTTAGTATGGAATTTTAATTATTTTTTGCTTTGCTCTTATTTGCATCATTTTTTAGTGTTTCCTTTGCGGATTATATTATGTATCCTTCATTTATCTTAATCTACTTAGAGTTAATAATGTACCATTCAAAGGATCATTCTTTTATTTCTGTTGACCCACATGTTGCCACTTAGGATATTATGATAAATTCATTTCTGTAGACCCAATTTCTACTTGGTGTCATTTCCTGTCAATAGTTTCTATAAAGTATGCTGGCAGCATATTTTCAGCTTTCTTTTATTAGAGGATGTTTTAAAGGATTATTCTTAGATAAGGAATTCTGGATTCCTTGACACTTAAAGAATGTTATTCAGTGCCTTCAAACACTCTGTTGCTTTAATGGGCTTTGTGGTAGTGTTATTTTTTCTTAGTGTTTCTTTTTCCACCCTTCTGATTTTAGAGTTTATCTTTGATTTTCAGACATTCTGTTCTAATATACCAGTATGCATGTAACCTCTTACAGGTTACGAAACTGCTTGCATCTGTAAGTTGTATTTCTCTAAGTTGACTAAAAGTCTTTTTCTCAATATTAATAATTGATAATTATAATTGATCATTTTCTCAGGTTGATAATTCCCAATTGCCATTTCCATTGCCATCTCTAATCTATTCCTAAAACCACACGGTTACATGGTTTTATTTTTAAAATGGTTTTCCTTAGTTCTGGAATTTCCATTTCTCTTTGGAGATTCCTATGTCAGTTTTCTCTTTATGATCACTTTTCCTTTAAAGATTGAACCATTAAAAGCTAATTTGAGGTCCTCCCGCCACCACCCAAAGTTTCCACATCTAGGTCATCATGAATTTGGTTTCTATTACCTACTTTTGTCTCTTGAGTAGGAATCACATTTTCATGCTTGATCTAAATTTTAGTTGTTCTGATGTATATAAGTTGTAGGAATTCTAGAGTCTGTTTTCTTCTTCTGAAGTGTTGCTTTTTGTTTTGTCAGACATTTCAGTTACTTGTGGGTCACCTTGAGCTTGTGGAGGCTTCAATTATACTTTGTTCAAGAGGGACTGTTTCAGCTTTGTCCTAAGTCCTGCGACATCTTCCTTAGTTCTAAGATATAGCTTTTATGTCTAAGCGATGTCCTCTTCACCCTACTCCGGCCTCTTTAATAGACTGCTCAAGGTATTTACCAGGCCAGCTAAGTTTGTAGAGCTCAAACTTTGTCTTCCTACTGTGGGCAGCAGCTGAAGTCTCTGTTGCACTCTTTTCACCTCTGGCTGTTGTTTCCCTTTGGATTCCTACTTGTGAAATTTTTCTCTGATTTTCGGCCTCAGTTACCAGCTTCTGCAGCAAGAAACTTCATATTCTGATTACTCAGGCTAGATATGAGTGCAGTTTCTAGAATCTTCAGTTCGGACTAACCAGCTTCACATGTGGCTGCGTCGACAGTAAAAGCTGTACCTCTACAGTGCTTATTTTAAACAGCTGATTTTTATATATTTTGTTCAGAATTTATCACTGTTTCGTGTAGGATAGCTGGTAAAAAAAAACCCTACCAACAAAACCAACTAAAAACCTCAGTCAGACCTAGAATGCCTGCTCTTTTAAAAAAGCTTTCTTTTTCTGTTATGCCCTCATTAGTTTTCTTTTATATTTACTCTTAGATATGAAGAGAAAGCTGCTAAAGACATGGAGCGATACAATAAGCAAATGAAGAAAGCTACCGAACAGGAGTCACAGGTACCGTTAAAAGATGGCGGAAAAAAGGCAAGACCTACCAGTGCATGGAGTTTGGCCCAGAAGCACAAGATGAAAACTTCCTTATCCAACCAGCCAAAACTTGATGAGCTTTTTCAGTCACAAATTGGGAAAAAAAAGACTCAAAGTATTAAAGTAGTACATGTCCCTTTTTCTATGAAAATCTTAAAACTTAACTGTGAAAAATATAAGAAATTTGGCTTAGAAGAGAAGGATGAATTTTGCTTGATCCACAATCTTAAATTTCCTGATGCCTGGCTAATTGCTTCCCCCAAAGAAGTGATGTTATTAAATCCGTATAGGATGGAAGAAGCCCTGCTGTTTAAAAGACTTCTTGAGAATCATCAACTTCCTGCAGAGCCACTGGAAAATCCAATTATATTAAAGGAGAGGTATGGTAAAGTAATGAAAATTTTCTGTGTTTTAAAATTTTAAATCATATCATTCTGCACTAGATTAGACATTTAAGTAAAAAGTTGAAAGTAGTTTCTAGTAGAAGATGGCTTTACTTAAACTTTTTTTTCCCCCCTAACTTGATTCCTAGTCCTAGTGGAATTTCTTTTTTGAGTGATTTTAGAATATTCTGAATACAAGAACCCTGTTGTTCAAATGAGTTTTGTTCCTGTGTCTTAGAATTTGTAAGTCAGATCAAGTATTTACCATTCTTATTTAGTGGTCCTTTCATAAAAAGGTTTTTTTCTGGTGATTTTAAAGCTACAGTGTGCAGCAATGAAGGGAATTATGATGAAGAGTTTATTACCAGTGGAAAAGTAGGAGCTGGTTTCATCAGTTGAGAGTGAGCGCAGATGTCCATAATATTAAAGGAGAAGTAGTAGAAGTAACCTAGAAACTGCCTTTAGTTCACTTCTCAAATAAGTATCAAACTCAAGTTTGATGCTGGATACCTCTTTATTAGTGAGTTGCCTAACATAATAGTGAAGTTTGGTTGCCAAATGCTCTTTAAGTTTCTGTTTGTTTTAACATTTTGAAACATATGTTAAAAGAGAATTATCCATAAATCACCTGGATCAACAGTTATCTAAATTTTGTTGTATTGACTTTGTCTATTGTTTCTCCTTTACTAAAGTATTGTAGAGAAATTCCCCAATTTCCATTATGTAGCTCTCCGAAGAATGACTGACTTCTTACCCTAATATCTTTTTCATGCCTGAAATAATAATAATTCCTTGGAATTGTTCTCTTTCACCTCAGAAGTGCTTTTACTTACAATTTTTAAAATTTTAAATTTAGTTGGGACCCCAACAAGGTCCACACTTAGTTTTTTTTCCCCCATACACATTACTTTTTTAAAAAAAAACTTTTTATTTTATACTGGTTTACTTACAGAGCTCATATATATTGATTTTCACACCATATTGTTCCCATTTCCTTTACCCACACCTTCCTCCACCATCAAATTGTGTGACCCATCATTACCCCTCCCCCATCCTCACCTCTCCCCACTCACCTACCCCTCCTTGGATCCTCATACACATAATTCATGTGATTGTGTTTGGACATTTGGGCTGTTCCATGTTCTTGAGATGGTGACTAGAGCTGCTATGAACATTAGTGTATAAGTCTCCATTTGTGCTTCAGTTCTCACTTTCTCAGGGTTTATTCCAAACAATGGAATAGCTGTGTCATATGGTAGTTCTGTGTTCAGCTTTATGAGGAAACGCCAAACTGCTTTCCAGAGTGGTTGTACTATTTTACAATCCCACCAACAGTGTTTAAGAGTTTCTATTTCACCACATGCTCACCAACATTTAGTACTCGCTGTCCTGTTAAACTTTGCGACTGCTACTGGAGGTGAGAGGTGTCTCATTGTGGTTTTGATTTGCATCTCTCTCATTGACAGTGATTTTGAACATTTGAATATCTTCCTTTGTGAAAATTCTTTCCGTAACTTTTGTTCATTTTGTAATTGTGTTATTGGTCTCATTCTTGTGGAGACCCTGTAGGATTCTGTGAACTTCTGATATGAGACCCTTGTCCAAAATGGTAATGCCAAATGTTTTTTCCCAGTCAGTAGGTTTTCTTTTCACTCTGTTGGAAAATATTTTTGATGCACACAGAGATTTAAACTTTAGTAGGTCTCATTCATCAGGTTTATCCTCTCCAGATTATACATTTCTGGCTGTATTTCCCAGTCTCTTTATACCATAGAGTAGGCCATCTAATCTTGATCCCAGCTTGTCTCTTAGGAATCCTTTGGTTTTAGACATTATTCTTCAGTCTCTAATTCACCTTCATTTGATTTTTGTGTATGGTGTGAGATGTGGATCCTGTTTCAGCTTTCTTCGGGTAGCAGTACAATTTTGCCAGCACTATGTGTTGAAGAGGTTGTCATTTCCCCATTTGATAGGTTTTAGTTCCTTGTCAAGTATCAGTTGACCATAGATGGCTCCATTTCTGGTTTCTCAGATCTGTCCTATTGGTCCATGTGCCTGTCACTGTATCACTACCATGCTGTTTTGGTTACTCCTGCTTCCACACATTACTTTTGATTGCTATCTCCCTTAAGTCTCTTTTTAAAATTTATTTAATTTTTTAAATTTAAATTTTATTTTACTAGTTTTCATAAACATTTACAGAGATTTTGGATTTCCATTCATTCTTTGTTGTACTTTTTTCCCAACCCCCCACCCCCAGTTTGCTCCTCTCTTTGAAAAGCAAAAGATAAACTTCTTCATTGGTATACAATCCCCCCCCCCCCGCACCCTGAATGCACTCCACCATGCAACCTTAATTCTGGACTCTTGTGATCTCTTACGTTAGGAGGCTTGAATAGATAGTAGTTTCTGGAAATGTTTCCTAAGTCTGCTTCCTATTTTATATTGTCAGATGGCATTTATCAGTAGGTACAACTCATTATAGCCTGATTCTTCCACCTGGAAGTTTCCTATCAGACTTTTCATCTAATGGTTACATTCATTGACAATTTTTGTCCTATTACAAGTTAAGAACTTGAATATTTCCTTTTCAGATTCTTTGTGAGTGTATTGCTTATACATACATATATATTGTTATATGCCGTCAAGTCAGAAGTTACTCATACCTGACCCTCCATGGGGTTTTCAGAGGCTCTAAATCACATAGGAGGAGATTGCCCATTTTTCTCCTGAAGAGTAACTGGTAGATTTGAACTTCCTGCCCTTGGATTGGCAGAACTGCTCCTTACTCACTAGGTGATCGAGCTTATTCCATAGATAGGTAGGAAGACATAAATATGTATGTAGTCTTTCCCTTTTCCTATACTTAATATTTCTTTTTTCAGCTTGACACAGGTTATAACTATGAAACATAAAAAAACAAAAATTATTTTTTCAGGATTAGTAACTATTGCTCAGTATCCAATATATTTTATAATATTATGGTTGTTTAGGCCACATCAGAGAAAGAATATAAAAACAATGCTACAGACTGTTTTAAAACTGTTCATAAATATGGTAGTATTTTTTTCCTCCAAAATTATTAGTTCATTCCTTTTCTGGATGGTATCTATAAATTTTCATTTAAACCTAAAAATCCTTGCTGTGCTTGTCTAAATTTTTGCTTTTCTGTATGGTTTACATTTATTCAAAAGCAAATACAATAAAAACTATTTTTTTGATGAAAATCTGGTCCACAGGTAAATCTTCCTTTGTTTAACATGGACAGCAGCAAAGCTTTATCCAAAATTGGTATCCCCATTATATTTATAAGTTTTCAAAACTGAGTTACATATTAATTATCTCATTGTTGATAAATTAAGAGTTGGTTAGTTTTCTTACCTGAGTTCTAAACTGAGTATGTATAGCTTACTTCTGAATAGAATTTAGAAATCTGCAAGAAAAAGAGTAAATACAAAAAAATAGCAATAATTTTTATTGAGTGTTTACTATAGAATAGGAACTTTTGCTTTTATGGTTTTATCCTGACAGCATACCTGTGCAGTAGGCACCATTTTTATAAGTGACAAAACTAGAACACAGAATGGTTACGTAGTTAATAACTTACCAAAGCCTGCACACCATTAAGTCATAGGTGCACAATTTCGGCTTAGTCTAACACTAGAACCAGCACCAGTCATTATTATGCTATGTCATCCTCATCAGCACCACCACCAACTCTCAGAATGAGTTTTTGAAGGTTGATTAGACGAGCAGAGTGTGTCTGTCATCAGGCCGAAGTTCTCACTGACAGGATGTGGTCCTCAATCTTTCAGAATTCAAGACATCATCTGCCCAATTGTTCTTTCAAGAAGTGGAGAGTTATAATGAAATAACAGCTTATCTTTCTGCATTGGAACATAGAACAGTTCTTCCTTTTCCTACCTAAGACAGTGTGCAGCACATGGTGTAAGGGGCTGTCGAATCACCATATGTACAATAGCACATAACATTGCCCAAATGAGTTAATAAGAAAATAGAAACTACCCATGTGTCAACCAGAACAGACAACTTCATTCAATAATTTATGATGCAGTATGATCAAGTTTAGAGCCAATTTGTAAGGATTTTTTTGTGTACCAGAGATATATTTAACTACCTTAAAATATTGTTTGGGGTCCAAACAGCTCAAAATCATTTGACAACATTTGATGCCTACAGAAAACAAAAGGAAGACCTCCTTAGCTCTAAATCACTAATTTATCAGTTCTTAGTGCAAAAAGATAGTAATTTCATCATTATTTGAGCAGCCTTGACTATTGTTATTGTTGTTAGGTGCCACCGAGTTGAGTATAACTCATAGCAAACCCGCGAACAACAGAGTCTAACCATCCTATTCTGTGCCATCCTCATCATTTCTGAAATACTTGAGCCTGTTGCGGCAGTCACTGTGTTAATCCATCTGATTGAGAGTCTTCCTCTGTTTCACCAACCCGCCATCTTTCCAAGCATGATATCCCTTTCCAAGGAATATCTTGTCCTTAACAAACCATGCCCAAGGTATGTGAGACACAGCTTTGTCATCTTTGCCTCCAAGGAACACTCTGGCTGCACTTTCTCTGGGACATATTTGTCTGATCTTTTGACAGTCTGTTGGATAATCAGTACTTTTTCCCACCACCATAGTTCAAAGCCATCAATTCTGCCTCTGTCATTCTTACTCGCTGTCCAGCTCTCAGATGCACAGCAAGTTACTGAAAAGACTGTAGTCTGAATCAGGTGCATCTTAGTCTTTAAGCTGACATCGTTGCACCTCAGCAATTTGGAAAGGTCTGATTATAAACTTACCCAATACAGAGACTCTCCTGACTGCTGGTAAAAGGAAATCATTGATAGTTTCAGTCTTTCCACCCTCTATCATGATGTTGCCTATTATTACTAAGATGTAATCCATATTGAAGGCTGTAGTGTTTCATCTTCTGCAGCAAGCATTTAAAATTTTCCTTACTTTCAGCAATCAAAGATGGTCATCTGTATAGCTCAGGTTGCTGATGAGTCTTTCTTCTGTCTTGATGCTACATGCTTCTTCATAGAGTCCAGCTTCTAGAAAGATTTGTTCAGCATACATAGACTGAATAGATGTGGAGAAAGGATACAACCCTGATGCACATTTTCCTTCATTTTAAGCAATACAGTGTTCCCTTGCTCTGCTCAGGTAACAGCCTCTTGTTTTAGGTATAGGTTTCACATGAGTATAAAGTATGTGTTCTAGAAGTCCTCTTTTTCTTAATGTTAGCCATAGTTTGTTATGATCCACATAGTCAAATGTGTTTGCATAGTCAGTACAACACAAATTGACATTCGTCTGGTGTTCTCTGCTTTCAGCTAGGATCCAACTGACATCAGCTTTGATATCCTTAGTGCCACGGCCTCTTGTAAACTCCACTTGAATTTCGGACAGTTCTCTGCTAGTGTACTGTTGTAGCCATTTTTGGATGATCTTCAACAATATTGTGCTTGTAAGCAATATTATTTATATTGTTGGATTATTTCCACATTCTGTTGGATCACCTTTCTTGGGAATGAGAACCAATATGAATCTTTTCCAGTTAGTTGTCCAATAATCTGTTCTTCTGATATAGACTGTTGAGCATGTCCAAGGCTGCATCTGTTAGTTAAAACATATCACTTGGTAGCCCATTAGTTCCTGGGCCTTATTTTTCACCAGTGCCACTTGAACTTCTTTCCTTTGGCTCTTGATCGTATGGTACTTCCTTAAATGGTTCTGTCAGCCAGGTTTTTTAAAATACAGTACCTCTGTGTATTCCTTGTATCTTTTTTTTAATGGTTCCTATATCATTCAAGATTTTTCCATATCATCTCTCAGTATTGCAATCCGAAGTTTAAATTTGTTTGGCAGTTCTCTTAGCTTGAGAAATGCCAAACAAGTTTTTCCCTCTTTATTCTCCAATTCTAACTCTGTGCACATTTCTGTTATAATACTGTATTCTTTTCTTTCAGCACCTCTTCCCATTGTTGTGGCTCCTTGATGCTCTGGTGCTAATTCCCAAGTCACTTCTGACATCTATTTTAGTTTATTCATCTCTTCTTTCTTTAGTCAGTAAAGAAGGTGATTTTTTTGCTTTTTTTTTCCCATGCATGATAACCTTGATGTCACCCCACAACTCATCGAATCTTCCATCATCACTGTGCAGTGCTTTATACCAATTGTTAAGATGACTTTTAAAGGGAGCTCTGGTGGCCTAGTGGCAAGACACTGCACTGCAATCCCAGAGGTACGTGGTTCAAATCCACCAGATGCTCTGCTGGAGAAGGAGGGGACAATCTCCTCCTGTACTAGTCAGATCTGATTTGACGGTACACGTAAAAAAATGATACAATAAAAATTAAAAAATAAATTTTAAAAAATTGTAAAAAAAAAAAAAAGATGACTTTTAAACTCAGTAGTTGAAAGTGATGCTTAGAACAAGTTGAGATCTAAGCAATACATTATATCTTTTGAAGGTGGAAAATGGCATTGCTTATCATTTTTATTTATATGAGAGGATATTTATCTTTATTTCACATTCAGTTTGTAATATTCTGTAAGAGTATATGAGACTGCCTTTTGTCAATGCCTTCTTTTCTGCGCACCATATGCAGTTGTTAATGACCTTATGAACAGCAGAGCAGAAGCTTTTCCTAACCTGTGCCATCTCCCTGTCTGTGACATGCTCAAGTCCACTGTTGTGGTCACTGTCAATCCATCTTCCTCCCCTTCTCTGACCCTTCATTTTTCCCGGCATGATGTCCTTTTCCAGTGACTGTTTATTCCCTCCTGATGTGCACAAAATGTATGAGACAGAGTTTCACCATCTGCAGATTATATTGTTAATAAAGTATTAACAGAAATGTAAAAATCAAGAGTTTTTTTCCACAGGCTTACTTAAACCTTTCTGTCTGGTCAATAATAATACTTTAATATTTTAAAAAGATCCCTTTGATTAATATTTTCTCCAAGTCCTATTATTTCATTTTACATACTTACAAATTAAAGATGTCTAATTTCTTTTTCAGTCTGTTTAGTGGATCTCATTATTTAGAGATTTTACATAAAATGACAACAGATGGAAAAGGATACAGTGGATCAACTTACCTGTCTGATCCTCGTCTTACCGCAAATGGTTTCAAGATAAAATTGATACCAGGTATGATAATGTGGCTTAATATTTTATGACTTGCAAAAAGTAAATCTTATTCAAAGAGTTAACATGTTTTTATTTTAACATTTTTCTTGTGATATGAGTTAGTTTATAGAACAAATTGATTGTTCAACCATTCACACACATCCTACACATTTTCATTTGTAAAATTTATTACAGTTTTCACAAAGCACTCTTTCTGCTTCCTCTTTGGAATTCTTTTTTTCTACTCATCTTTTTATGCAGTTCCTTCCTGCTAAACTTTCTCCCTGGACAAATGCTGCCTATTTGATCTTGTGTACCTGGTTGTTCTAAGGGGTACATACCTCCCTGCTCAACTTATAGGCTTATCCATTGACTGAAGTTTAAGCTATAGGGACATTTAGGTTTTATAATTGATAGAGACCGTGTATTTTTATACCTCATAGTTTTTTATCTCCCCAAAAGTCCAGTGTGAGCTACTAACAAACTGTCTTATGTTATAAAGACTTTGTCTGCTAAGGTTATTATTTCTTTTACTTTCTCATCTTACATTTTCATTATTACAATTAATTAAGTAACTATTATAATTGTTGCCATCTTTTGGCATAATATTCAAATTGTCTGCCTTTTTCAACAAAATTGTTTAAATATTCCTTTAAATTACTAAATTGAAATAAATATTTAGGGTTTGGAATGGCTTATCAAAAATGGACACCGGTTTTCTTTTTTTAAAGCAATTACTTGTTTGCAAAGTAGACGTTTAATATCAGTATTCTTACTCTTTGGAGTGAATGATTTGATCCATGGCTTTGCCAAAATACTAATGACCTTCTTTGGCTTAATTTGAAACTTCATCAGGTGGAGAGAAAAAAGGAAAATCCTCTGGCTAAGGGACTTCAATTTTCCTGGCTGGCCCTTTCTCTGTTTTTTCATAGTTTCCACTCTTAACTGCCTTCTGCCTAGCTTCCTAGGACTTGTTTTGTCCTGTTACCTTCTTTCCATCTTGTAATTAAAGGGCACTTTGACCCCCATGGTGTACTGACTCCATTGTCCCACATCATACTCTAACTTGTCATGACCAAAGTGTAAAAACACAAAGTTTAACCACAACAGTATTGAAATTTTTAAAGGAATGTTTTTCTGAGATATGAAAAGAAAATACATAATAGTGTATTAAAGCTTGAAATTGGGAGGAGGAGGTATGTGTGGGGTGTCTGTATGTGTGTGTGTGTGAGAGAGAGAAGTGCTCTGCTGTAATAAATTTAAACTATTTTGTTGTTGATGCCGCTGTTTTATTGGATAAAACCAATTCATAGCTGACCCTGCAGCCAGTCAGGGACTGTAAAATGCACAGGAAGAAGTTGCCCCTCTTTCTTCCATGGAGCAACTGGTATGTCTTTGAGTTAGCAGTGAAACCCCTTACCACTAGGGCACCAAAAAGAGCTCCTTAAACGTAAACTAACCTGTTCAATTAGGAAACCTACCCTAAATGTCTGTCTTGTACTTTAACCCTAGATGGGATAATGGTAACACATATATTTTAGATTTGGAATGGAGAGAGGTTTTCTAAATCCCACCTCTCCAGTTTAAAAGCAATTTTTCCTTAGAAAAGCCAGTTAGCCTCTCTCTTCCATGCCAGTGACAAGAATGAATGTTTATTGAATAGTTTCTACTCAGTGCACTAGTCTAAGTATTGAGGGTCTTTGTTTAATCTTATTACTAGATATAAGAAGCTGCCCTGCAATCCCAAAGACACAGAGTTCAAGGCCATGAGCTGTTCCACAGGAGAAGGATGAGCAGTCTCCTACCATGTGATTAACTGAAAACCGGTGGGAGGGGCAGCTATGGGTCAGTTCTGACTCACTGGTACAAAACCACGGCAGCATATTATAGATGGAAACGATAGAGAAGTTTACTCCAAGTTACATAATTGCAGAACCAGAATTTTAAACCAAACATTTGACCTTTAGGTCCAGGTTCTTAACCCATTTGTTATATAGACCCCTATTAAAAGTATGTACTTTGCGAACGTATCATAAGCTAACTTACATAAATCAGTTGACATGGTACTTGGCAACGGTAGATTGTCAAATACTTTTTTTCTCCTTACCTTCCTGCCCCTCTTTCCAACCTGACCCAGATATAGTAATTTCTTTTGCTCCTAGAAAATCTTTTTCTTTGGAACCCTGAAATTTTAAATTGTGATGTAAGTTTATTTTGTTTTGTGGATGGTGGAGATGAGTGTGTGTTTTAGAGCAAGACATTTTATCTTAACTTCATCTTAATCTCTAATTACTTACAAGGCATTGGTGGTAGGTACTATTTTTATGAATTACTTAGATTATTATCAGACCTATTTCCCTTATAAATAATAGACCAAATTACTAAGACAGAAACCAGATTGCTTTTGTTTTTTCTGAAGAGACCATCAATTTTCTCAAGTGCAAATTCAAATTAAAATTGAAGAAACTGAAACAAATTCATGGAAGCCAAAGTACAACCTTGAGTTTTATCATCTGAATTTAAAAATCGTTTCAAGATTAGATTTAATAATTGAAGACTAATGACGAGAATGATTGTGAAATGACATCAGAGACATAATCCTTGAAGAAAACAAAGGCTCATTAAAAGATAGTTAAGCATTATTTGCATGACAACAGTCCAGAATAAGAAGTACATAGAAAAGTGGGCTGATGGAGGGAGAGGAAATTATGCAACAATTAAGGATTTTTTTTTTTTT